GAGACTTCCCGGGGGACGGGCCCTGCAGGAAACCCCCCTCGGACGCTCAGTATGGCGTGGCCCGTAGCCGTGGGCCCAGCCCTGCAGCGTCCCAGGGCAGACCAGGCCGGGGCACCTTTCCCGCCAGGCACGTCCCCCGGGCGTGTGGACGGGTCCCTGCCCCGGTGCTCTGCGGTGGTGGAGGGGCAGAGCCCGATGCTGCTGCCGTTCTCTCCGGGGACGCGTGGGCCAGGTTCTCAGAACGACCGTGCGGAAGCAGGCGCCTGGTTCCCGTGTGGGCTGTTGGGCTTTTGGCTGCAGAGGCAGGGCCTGGTGTCTTTGGCTTGTGAGGTTTGGGCGGGGGCCGGCAGCTGTTTGCCTTCATTCTCTCTGCCCTGCTTTGCCTGCGCCCGCCGCTGAGCCTCGTGCAGGGCACGTGGCCGGCACCCAGAGCGTGACGTGGGCCTAAGGAAGGGCCCCCCACCCGCGAAGTGCCGAAAGCTGGAACTTTGTTTTTATCGCCCTCTCCCAAGAGTCCAGCTGCTGCAGCGTCCCAGCGAACGACGTGGGGGCTGCTAAGGGGCGGGAGGATGTGTTTGATCCTGGGTGCTGCAAGTGTGTTCAGCCCGTGGCTGACGGTGCAGGCGAGGGCGAGACGCACAGTGTTCACGAGACACTCCGGGAAAGTTCAGCTCCACCGGACACCGCGGTTCCAAGGAGCCGGTCTCGCTGGGACTGCAGGGGAAGTTCGCTTCTCCTCCGACGCTCGCAGCTCGGGGGCTTTGCAGCTTCCAGAAAAGTGCCACTCATGGTTAGCGGCCAGCCAGCTGCCAGCTGTTCCCCTACGCCCGCAGTTCCGGGGGAAACCCGAACCTCCAGGCAGAGACAAGCACCATCTGGGCCAGCGGCTCCCTGGAATCCTTGCGGTTCCATAGCCGCAGGCACCTGGGCTGCGTTGCTGTGGGAGCGGGTGGGCCGTGCTGACCGGCTCTGCGGGGCGTGGAAAGGGGCCAGCCGTGCTGGGGAAGGGGAGACCCTCTGGCCCCCTGCTCCAAGAGGGGCCCTGGGACCGGGCTGCATGGAACTCGTAAGGGGGGTCTAATGGCAAACTGCTGGGAAGCATGGGGCAGGCGAGGGGCTGCGATGTGGCCGAACTCTGCAGCTGGCAGGAGAGTGGCGAACGGTTTCTGAAAGGTTCCTGGACGTTTTCCACCCCCCACGTTTCTCTGGTTTGCAAAGGGATCCCCTGCAGTGTGGCCGGGCAGCCCAGGGGTACGTACCAGCGCCCCGCCACACGCCAGCTGCTCTTGGGAGCCGGGGGGCACTGGGGCAGTTTGCAGCAAAGGGGCCCTGCTTGGCGTGCTAGAGAGGATGTGAGGCTACTTCAGACTAGGGATGTCACAGGGTCGTCCGCGAACAGATTAGCAAAAGCGTATTGGTTAGTGCTGTCGACTACGCGCTTTGAAATGCAGCCGGGTTTGGTCCCAGACCCAGCGCGAGCCGGAACCGAGCGCTCTAAGCACCTTCCCTTATCAGCTAATTGCGTCGTTGATAAAAATTCTATCGACTACATCGCTTCTCAGCTTCCCTGCGTCAGACAAACCACGCGCAAGGCTGTGCCGCTGGTTTCCTAGCTGCCTACAGGGGGAGGTAGCGGGAGCCAAGATTTTTCCAAAGCTGGTAAAGATTTTTGGGCACCCCGCTTGAATCGCGCCAAAGGGGGGGGGGCTGCCCATTTTCCAAGGGCAGATGCTCCGCGCTCGCTGAAACGGAGGCCTCGGTTCCCCCTCCACTTTGAAAATCGTGGCCTTGCTGGTTGGCTGGTGGTTCTTTTAAGGCGGAGTGTTTTCGGCTCCGTTCCTGTGACGTGCCTGGAGCGGAGAGCCTGCAGCGATGGCCAGTCCCAGGCGCGGTAGCTGCTTAGGGGGATGGTGAGGAGTTTCCCACGAGTGGGAGGACGGAAAGACCCGTCGCAGCGTTACAGCAGGCCGAGCCCTGGCGCCAGCACTGAGGCTAAGGCTGCGTTCGCCCGTTGCTGGCCAGCGCTGCCTCTTTGCTACCTGCCTTTGTGGTCCCCTTTGGAGGCAGCAGTAGCTGGTGACATGAGAAAACCTGAGAGGAATAGACCCCCCCTTTGCTGAGAGCGCCGTGTAGCTTTTCCTGTCGGGGGTCAGGGAATCGTTATTGCTCTTTGCCACAGCGTGGGGTCACCCTGAGACGTTCACGTCCGTGTTTCTTCCATAGCGAAAGAAATCGATCGGCATCCGTAAGTCCCTAAGCCTGGGAACGTGCTGATCAGGAAACCCCTGCGCTGTGTGCGGACGACCTAGTCTGCGCTTCCGCTCATGTCCTGCTGCGCAGCACGGCACACGTCAGCCTTCGGTTAGGGACTGTTAATGGTGCAGGGCAGGCGGGAGCGTGGGTTGGGGTGGCTGCGGTGGGGGGCCTGCC